CATCACTACTATCATCATCACCATTACAAATCCATCGTCATCATCTTCAGAATAATATTACCAATTAGAGCGAGTTGACTTTGTATGACATACAACTTATGTACAAACAAATATACATACATACATACATACATACATACATACATACATACATACATACATACATACATACATACATACATACATACATACATACATACATACATACATACATACATACATACATACATACATACATACATACATACATATATACATACGCAACATATATGGACAAACATACAGCATGGGCATCTCTTCTACTACAATAACGAGATAGCATATAAAATGTTTTATGTGGTTGTTTGAATTCATTTGTTGGACCTCTTGGTGCTGATAACGAGGACGAGGACGATGAAGATGAGGATGAAGATGATGATGATTGGGCTTAATATAAAGATGACTATATCATGATTCTTTCACGGATTAAAACTGGCGACTAGTGGTAAGTTAGTATTGTTGTTCTTCCTTGTGATGATGATGATGTTGGTTATGATAATGATGAAAATATGATGATGATGGCGATGATAATGATGATAAAGATGATGATGACGATTGCCACACCGGAACAGAGAAATAAATTATGAAAGGAGTGATTATTCTTGAAGGATGAGTTGTGCGCTCTGCCAGCCGATACCCGCCATCATTATCAGCACCAACATCGTCATCATCATCGTCTTTGACGTCATTATTACGTCATCGCCATCTTTTCGGGCTTCATTATCACCTTCAAAATCGGTTTCATCATTAACATCATCAGCCTCATCAGCTGCTGCAGAACTAACATCACCATCGTTCATACGACCATCATCATCATCATCATCATCATCATCATTAACGTCCTCTTCATCATCGTCGTCATCATCATCGTCATCATCGTCGTCATCATCATCGTCATCATACTTTCTTCCAATTTCATCATCCCTACCATCGCCATTTCAATTTTCGTTTCCATCTTCTCCATCAAATAGTTCATCATCAGCATCACAATCATCAGGCTCGTCATCATCATCATCTTCTTCTTTACCTCCGCCATCGTTATCATCACCGAATTCTTTTTCCTCGCCACCACCACAAGTGGCCACTGTCGTTGCTTTAGGTGGTGATCGCATCGTTCTGAAATGCCGGATTAAAGACGAAAGAACCAAAACGGTAATGATGATGATGATGACGATGATGATGATGATGGTGGTTATGACGATGATGATGATGATGGTGGTTATGACGATGATGATGACGACGACGACGATGCATCTACGCTTGAACGCCTCTGACAAGATAATATCGCCCGCAGTTGCCAATGCTGTGAAATTAATATTAAATCATTAAAAACGTCTTCATCATCATTTTCTCTACTACTACTACTACTACTACTACTACTACTACTACTACTACTACTGCTGCTGCTGCTGCTGCTGCTATTACTACTACTACTACTACTGCCATTTCTACTACTACTTTTACTACTACTACTACTATTATCCTTTCTTTTACTACAATGTTTTACTACTACTACTTTTATTAATATTACTAGAAACAATTACTAAATACTATTCTCCATCAATCTTCAATCTCTTTCTCTCTCTATAAATATTTTTCTTTCGTTTTTTCTATTTGTCTTTTTTTATCTTTCTCTCTCTCTCTTCTCTCTCTTTCTCTCTGATTTATTAGTCAAAGGAGATTATAAATATAATAAAATGTTTACAAATTTGTTGAAATTTCTGTGCGGTGGTGCTAATGAATGCTTTCACTGCCGACGAGAGAGGACCCGGGAGAGAGAGAACGTGAAAGAGAGAGAAAGCAGAAGAATTTAAAAAGAAAGAAAGTTGGAACTAGAACGACTGAGATAAATTGAAAAAAAGAAGAAAGTTAAGCGGAGGGATAGAAAGAGCGAAAAATGATAAACGAATGGCACAAAAAATTAGGGGGTAACAAACTCGGAGAACGTAAAACATAAAATGAGAAAAAAAGGAGGTAGAGATAAGGAGAGGGGAAAAAAGAGAAAAGAAGAAGAAAAAAGAGTATGAAAGAGAGAAACAGAGGAAGAGAGGAAGAAATTTTTTTTATTGCGAATGAGATGCAGAGAAATTAATGAAAAAATCCTGAGAAAATTTTGTAAATTTTTTTTTGACTTGGTAGTTGTTGTAGTAGCTGCAGCAGCAGCAGCAATAAGTGTAATAGTTGTTTTCATTGTTGTTGCTGTTGTTTTTGATGTGTTTGCTCTCGTGGGAATGATAAGAGGGGAAAAGTTTTTTGTCGTCGTTGGAGGGACGAATTCGCAGTCCCATTATTATTAATATATTACACATACACATATGTACGTGTGCATATGTGTATGTACGTGTGTATATGTGTATGTGTGTGTGTGTTCGTCGTGTGTATGCGTGTGTGTGTGCGTGTGTGCGTTTCGAAAAATTTTTCGTATCGATCATCGTAATGGTACGACCTACAGTACTAATGATAATAATTTTACCAGTAATGATAATAATAATAATAAAATAATAATAATAATAATAATAACATCACTACCAAAGTGAAAGAACAAATGTGTCTTCCATTGTCGTCAATCATTATTTAATTTTGGAAGAATGAATTTTTAAAATGTTTATGGATCTTTGGGCAAATATGAAATGATGTTCTTCGGCGCTCTTATTTTAAGTCTATGTTTAAGTTTCTTTGCTGTTGTTTTTTGTGTTTACGTCATAAAAAATATCTTATCTATGTAAACAGTTTTCGTCTTTTAGTAAAATTTACCTTCATTATACTTACATACGATGAAGTGTTTCTATCTATGTAAATACGCTGTTTTATCCATGGTGGATAATATTTTATCTATGTAAACGTTATTTTATCTATGGTGGAAAATGTTATATCTATGTGAGCGATATTTTATCCCTGTGCAGAATTTTTTTCTACTCATGGTTCAATTGACAATTCGCCATCGTGTTTACGTGGCAGACATTTTTGTTCCGGTGCAATTTCAGTCTTCATTTTTTTACCCATTCCTTCAGTCGTTCATCCGTCCTTTCGTTTATTCGTTCGTTCTTTCTTTCATTCATCCATTCATTCATCACTCTTTCCGTCAGTCGTTCTTTTTCCCTTGAAAATGTTTTTCTTTTGCCACTCTTCATATATCAATTTTGAATTTTAAAAACCGGACATGATGATGATGAAGATGAAGTCGTTGTTGCTGCTGCTGCAGCTGCTACTGCTGTCGTTGTTGATGCTGATGACGACGACGATGATGATGATGATGGTGATGGTGGTGATGATGATTGCGTCATAATTTATTTGGCGCAGTGTTTTATTTATGCTGTCCTGAGCAGATGTACTTCGCCAAGAATAAGAAGAATAATAAGAACAATAATAACAATAACAACAACAATAATAATAAAAATAATAATAATAATAAAAATAATAATAATAATTAATAGCAATTGTTTTACATTTTGAAGTACTAAACTGCGATAAACATGGTTAAAACAATGACGATGATGATGATGACGATTGTGATGACCACCATCGTCTCGGCGGCGGTGGTGGTGGTGATGATTATGGTGATCTGCTAATCTATAATTTATCATGTGTTTTCTCACGGCTAATGACCAAAGCATTTCTTGTATGAATGAGTGAATGAATGTGAATGAATGAACTAACAAACGAAAGAATGAATTAATTAATAATTGTGTGAATGAATTAATGCACAAATAAATGACGGATTGAGTAAATGGATGGATGGATGAATGAATGAATGAAGAAATGAATAATCTAATGAACGATCGATTGACTTGTCAAACAGGCAAATGAATGATTGATCGAACAGAGAAACAAACCAGTGACTGGGTGAACAAACAAACAAATGAATGAATGAACGAAAGAACAATCGAATGATTGAATGAACGAAAGAACAAACGAATGAATGAGTGAAATATAAATTTAGCATAGAGGAAAGATATGATGAATATCGCTGTAAGGTAAGTGTAATGAGAATGCATATAAGTCATGTCATTTTATGCAGCGCTATATAATGCCTTATATCTTTCTAAACGTCATTTATATGTTATTATTATTATTATTATCATCATCATCATGATCGGGCGCGAAATTATGAATATTAATAAATAAGCGAGAGACGTGCTGTAAAATTGGTGCAATAAAAATAATTTTCTTCTTTTTTCTTTCCTTCATTCGCCTTCCGCTTTCTCCATCTCTCTCTCTCTCTCTCTCTCTCTCTCTCTCTCTCTCTTTCTCTCTCTATCAATATTATCCCCTCTTCAGCGTTTCAAATCTGAGCATTTGTTCATTTTAAAAACATTCAAACATCTGCTAAAACATATAAAACAACCTACAGACACACAAACATGTGCGAATATGCATGCATACAAAGATACAAACAATTATACAAACGAACAAACATACAAAAAATATACAAACAAACATACTAACGCACGTACGTATAAATACACACACACTTAGATATATTCATGTCCATACTAATTGATATCATTCGTCATCTCTTCTCGCTCTCTTCTTTTTATTTTCTTCTTACCTTCCTTCCTTCCTTCTTCCTTTCTTTCATCTTTCTTTCATTTTTTGAATTCTTTTATTCATTCTTTCTTTCACTCTGTCTTTGATTAGTAGCAGGTATTTACACTTCTTTTGTGTTTATTTTGAAAGCAAAAATTTTGTTTTGGCTTGTTACTTTCGCTGGCCATCCATCCGTCCATCCGTCTATTAATTCATCCACCTATTCATTCACTCATTCATTTATTCATTCATTCATTCGTTCGTTCGTTCATCCATCAATTCATTCATTCACGCATTCACAGGTCACGTGGCGGAAGTTGGAGGAACCCTACCCCCTGACGATAGGGGTACTTCCGTTTGTGCAAGGTGATAGACTGAAGGTAGACAACAACGAAAGGATGAATGAATGGAACCTTGTCATCAATGACGTCATCATGGAGGATGCTGGAGTGTACGTCTGCAGTGTTATTGTCAGGCAACATCAACAACAACATCCACAACAACAACATCCACAACAACATCCACAACAACAACAACAACAGCATCCAAGAGACTACATAGCTTGTATAACTCAACTTTCAGTTGTCAGTAAGTCATTTTATAACCGCATTTCATCCATTTTAATTGCCAGCAACTACATCATCATCCACAACAACAACATCAACAACAACATCATTATTATCATCACCTTCTAGCAATAACTCTATCAGCCAATAGGAATGCGGTGAACGTCGGCCAGCCAATAATATTGAGGTGCCAAGTTTTCGGTAGCTATGGCAACCTAGACAACAACATCATTCCTAGCAACGACATCCACAACAACAACAACATCATCATCAACAACAACAAGTTAGCCAATCACGTGGTCTGGCTCAAGGATGACGTCATCGTAAAAAATACAACAGAGGCCATTGTTGTGGATGAACTTGTATACAGCGACCGTATGGACTCTGATAATGATCTTGGTGATGTTGTTGATAATGATGACGCTGAAGTTGGTGGGGATGATGATGATGATGATGATTCTGAAGGTAGTAAATTTTACAACCACACATCTTCGCCAAAGCTAGAACAACAACAACAACAACAGCAACAACATCTTCAACAACAACACCAACATCTTCAACAACAACAACATCAACTACAACATCAACAACAACAACATCAACTACAACAATATCTTCAACAACAACCTCAACATCTACAACAGCAGCAACAACAGCAACAACAAACGATCGATTTTGTGTACGAAAACCGTGAAGACAAAAAGCATTTCCGACCAAAAAATTGTTGCAATAATAATAACAACAACAACAACAGCGACAACAACAACAACAACAATA